AAGGGGCCCCAAGGAGAGAGCCTGGGCCAAACCCAGCCTGTTAGTCATGGCCCACAGCAGAGTGGGAGATAAGCAAAGCAAAGGCTCCGAGGGAGCTCACCCTCTGGGCTCCCTGAGCAATCCTCACCCTCTGGGCTCCCTGAGCAATCCTCACCCTCTGGGCTCCCTGAGCAATCCAGGCCGTGTGGGTTGGCTCTGCAGGAGACGGTTAACTACTAACAATGAACTTCCAGGCACCAGGGCCCCAGTGAAGTCAGTGGCTCTTGCATTTCCACACTCTGTTCAAGCGTCTTCAAGATGTCAGAAGGCTCCAAGGAGAGTTTGGGCCACAGGGGCCTGCCAGTATTGGGCAAGGCCTGCTTAACCACGATGGACAGAAAGCTTAATGTGCTGAATGAGAAGGTGGACAAACTCTTGCACTTTCAAGAAGATGTGACCGAGAAGCTACAGAGCGTGTCCAGAGGCCTTGGCCACTTGGAGGAAGGCCTGCACCGCCTGGAGGCTTCCCAGGTGCTGGGCTCGGCCAGGGCCGGCCCTGGGCCTCTAGCTGATGGGCAGGCTGGGTGGCCAGAGGTCCTGGAGCTGGTGAGGGCTGTGCGGCAGGACGCTGCCCAGCACGGCGCCAGGCTCGAAGCCCTCTTCAGGATGGTCGTGGCCGTGGACAAAGCCATCGCTTTGGTGGGGGCCTTGTTCCAGAACGCAAAACTGGTGGATTTCATCATGCGAGGCATCATCCCTTGGAGGGGAGGAAGCCTGGGTGACCGTGCTGCCGAGGTTGGTTCCTGCCCCCTGCTTGGGACTTCTGACTGGAGGGGCAGGGGTGCTGGTCGGGGGAACAGCCTGGTAGCTAGAGTTAGGAGAGCAGGAAGACCAGTGTCCCCTGCTTGTGCTGCCTCATTATTTGTTGATAGGGAGAGGAGAGATGTTACCTTACAGACTGTAAGAGGATTCTAGACAGGACAGTGGCTGTTTTTCCTAGGGAAGGACAGAGGCAGTACCCTGGCAAGGATTGTGGCTTGTGGGGGCTGCGGGCAGCCCTGGGGCTGCTAGAAGTGGGGAGCAGGGGCTGCTGAGGAGAGGAGGACAGATCGGCTTCTGTCACAGCTCAGTCACTTCTCCTTTCCAGTCCTTCACACCTGGCAGGGAGACAGATGGGGAACATGGGTTTGCCCTCACAGACCCCCAAGCCCTCCTCCCTTCCTGTCCCCAGCCTCCTGTCCCAGAGTGGGCGGGGTGTGCAGCTGCCTGTGGGGAGCTGAGTGTTGACAGTGACTGGGGGGGACAAAGGCCAGGCAGGAGCCTGGGGGTGGAGTGTGGTATTTCTGGGAGTGATGGTTACCAGGGCTTGCATAATCAAACAAGGGCTAATGGAAGGCTCCCTGGGATGGGGGTGTTTGTGTGTGTGTGTTGGGGGGCGGTGTAGAGCAACATTCTGTTTGGGAATAGCTAAGGGTCAACCACTTAGCAACACTCGAAGTCACCATTGCAGATCCCTGGAGTCGCCAGTGGGAGATTCGAGATGCACTGGGCCTACGGGGTCTGTGGTCAACTCTGTTGGCTCTCCGCTCTCGGGCTTTGAGCTTTGGGGGAGCGAGGCTGCTGCAGGGGACTGCCTTCCTCCCCTTTATTATCAGGCCGTGTCGCCCCGCCACCACCTGCCCTCCCCTGCCCTGCAGCATGGACCCTGCTCTCCCACTTTCTGTGCCTGTCCTGAGAGCCTGGCCTTCAGGGGAGACGTGACTTCTGCTCTTGCTACTGGTAACCAAACTCAGCTTTCAAAGGGAAAATTAATCTCACACACTTGGTAAAGATAGTCAAATGGCATAAAGAGCCCCCTCTCCTCCACCCCCAGCTCCTAAAGCCCTCCAGCCCCATCAGCACAGTTTGTCTTCAAGCTTAGCACACGCATCATCTTTGTTTTCATCTTTGTACCTTGAAAGTTTCCTCCTTTCTTAAAGTTGCAGAGTGCCCTATGTGGGAGGGAATGTGCCTTCATGTGTTAATCAGGCCCTTATCACTGCTTGTTTATATGGTTTCTCTTTCTTAACTATTACAAATAACAATGCAGTCACTCTCCAAGGGCATATGAGTTTATTTGCAAAATACTCCAAGCCATGGCCGTGCTGTAGACAAAGCCAGACTGACCTTCAGAGGAGTTATTCCAAGTTAGTCTTCTGCCAGTGACATAGGGGAGGGAATACTCGTTGCCTCTAATATTGCTAAAGAAAGCACTCTTTTCCTGTCTGGTGGTTGAACACTGACCTTTTACTATACATGTGTTTAAAGAAAGAGTTTCGTATGAGGAGTATTGAATACTTTTAAAATGGAGATCAATATAATGAACCCATGAACCTATTACTGAAGGTGAAGGTCGGTGTTGATAACTTTATTTCTGCCCACTTCCCCCTCCTGATTATTTTAATTGTCAAATTTGCATAATTTCTTCCATAAACATGTCAGCTTTTATATCTAAAAGACAAAGGCTTGTTTAGAAAATATAATCACAATAGTATTTTCATACCTGAAAAGTATGTAACTTTTATTAACTTAATACTACCAAAGTCATAGTTCACACTTACCTGATTGTCTTAAACATTTTTTTTTAGTCAATAGCCAAATAAAACAATGCTTATATCCCTCTTAAAGTTAACTTTTTTTTAAATAAAAGATATATTTATTTATGCATACAGAACTGGGGTACAGGCCAGAGGTGCAGGGAGGGTGCGAGGATTCACCAGAGACAGAGTGGGGAGCAAAACAGGCAGACTGAGGAAGTACACTGCTGAGGGGAGCAGTGGGCGAGACAGGAGAGATCTACCATGTGGGTCACCTCC